TATGGCTATCCAGTTTTCCCAACACCATTTGTTGAAGAGACTTTCTTTTCCCCATTGTATGTTCTTGGCTCCTTTGTCAAAGATTAGCTGTCCATAGAAGTGTGGGATCTTTATCACTTTTAAGAAACTTTTCTTGTGGAATAATTTTATATTTGCATGATAGAGAGAGTTTCCATAATCCTTCACCCAGCTTCCCTCACTGTTAAAATCTCCCATCACACTGGCACTTTTGTCACAACTAAGGAAGTGACGTTGGTACATTTCTGTGAACTAAACTTGCCTTTATCCCAAACTCAGTCTATCTTGGAGATCCTTCTGTATCAGCACACAGGAAACGTTCTTCATTCTTATCGATGACTCCATGGTTTTCCAATTGGAAGTATATTATACTATAAAGTACTTAATTAGTGCCCCATTGGTGGAAAACTATGGTGTTTCCAGTGTCTGCTAAGACAAATAATACTGCACTGAATAACTTGTATGAACATTCACCAAGTGTATGCACTTCTCTGTCAGATAATTTTCTAGAGAAGAAAGTCCTCAATCAAAGGGTGTATTTGTAACTTATACAGATACTGCCAAATCCCACTGCATGGAGGTGCATCTGTTTATACTTCTGCCTGCAATGTGCCTCCTTCCCTGCTGAACATGTTCATCCCTGCTGATCCTAAGTGAATTCACTGTCATGTTAAGTTGCAGTGTCATTTTGTGACTAGGTTGAGATCTTTCATCATTTTTAAGAACCATTTGTATTTCCTCATGGACTTTTTCTTGATGATTTGAAGAAGCTCTGTTCATCTAAAGGACATCAGCTGTGTGTTAGTTGAGCAGATTTATTTCCAATCTATTGGTGCCCTTTTAACTTAACATGTGGTGATTTTTCCAGGCAAAAATAGGCAAATTTTCTTCTGAGTTGCACTTAGTGGTGTACTGGTGTTGCCTCTGACTAGTTGGCAACAGCCAATTGTGTCCATCTTTTCCAAACTCGGGGTTCAGTGACTTAAAATTAGGTGCTGGAAATTGGCCAAGTTGGGAGTATTTACACCAAGGAAATTAGTAAATACTACAAATCAGGGCTTTTTTTTTTTTTTTTTTCCCTGTCTCCAGTGAGCTGGTTGTTAAATGTTTACTAGTAAACCACTGGTTGCATTTAACAATATTTTCTTTCATGTCTATGCCTTTCCCCACTCTAATATTATATTTTAAATCTCCCATAATTCCTTCCTATAGCCTCATATGTAAACACTCCCAAACACACCCATTCATTCAACCCTCACAGAACTATTTCCTTTTCCCTGAGCATGAAGTGTCATTTCACACCTCAGCTTTAGTTGCACCTCTTGTACCAGCCTCCCACAAGGTCTTTCCATCAGCAGCATCCTCTAGTCCGTTCTGACCATTCTCAGGCTCTGCTTAAGCTGCTCTGCCTCCAGGAAGCCCTCCCTGTCCTGACAGTCTCAATGCACTCCCGTCCTCAGAGCTCCTTCAGCCCAATTTGCCCCCATCACAAAACATGTCATATTGCTGTGTGAGTACCTGCTTATAAGCATCTCACCAACAGGACTGTGACGTCTCAGACACAGCTAAACTAGACAGGTCTTAGTGAAGCATTATTGAAAGGCAAGGCTCATAGAGGCAAATCTGGGACCTGCATTGGCACAGACGGCCAAGACAGGAGGCATGGGGTCCAAGGTGGTTCAGAAGAACGTGTGGATGTCTCTTGGAAAGGCTGCAGTGCCTGCTCCTAGCCCTGTCCCCTTGGGGCTCAGCCCAGTTGGTATGAGCCCTTCAGGCAATAGAAGAGAAGAAACAGATCTACATGATGAAAAGAAAAAACAGAGAGAGAGAGAGCCCCTAATGAGGGTCTGGGCTCAGCTTTCTCTCTCTCTCTTAGCTTTCTTGCCAGGACCCAAACCTCTGGGCAATGGCTCATCCCTTCCAGTCCAGGAGGGCCAGTCCCTGCGCCTGGTCTGTGTTGCCGACAGCAACCCTCCTGCCATGATGAGCTGGACCAAGGGGAGCCTGCCTCTGAGCCCCTCCTCACCTTCAAACCCTGGGGTCCTGGAGCTGCCTCGGGTGGAGCTGGGGCACCATGGGAAATACGTCTGCCGAGCTCAGCACCTGTTGGGCTCCCTGGAAGCCGCCCTGAGCCTCTTTGTGACCAGTGAGTGGGACATACCTGGGGAGGGACACCTGCATCCACGAGAGGAGAGAGGTTCCTCTGATACCTCTCCTCTCTCCCCACAGAGCCCCCACAGCTGCTCGGACCCTCCTGCTCCTGGGAGGACGAGTGTCTGCACTGCAGATGCTCTGCACAAGCCCAGCCGGCCCCCTCCCTGTACTGGCGGCTGGGGGAAGAACTGGTGATGGGGAACCACAGCAACACCTCCCTCACGGTCACCTCCAGCTCCACCGGGCCTTGGGCCAACAGCTTCCTGAGCCTCAGTGGGGGGCTCTACTCCAGCCTCAGACTCAGCTGTGAGGCCAGAAATGCCCATGGGAACCAGAGCGCCACTGTCCTGCTGCTACCAGGTCTAGGGCTATGAAGGGTGATGCCCAGGGAAGGGGGATACACAAGCCTGGATTCTAGAAGACACTGAGGAGAGAAATGGGTCTGATTCAGGGTGAAGGGGGACTAGAGTTCAGGGTCCTCTGTTGGTTGGCTGGGGAGGGGGCTGGGGGGACAGGAAGCTGCAATCATATAGAGGGGTGGGTGACAAAGCAGCAAGTCCTGGATAGAAGAAGGCACACACATTGGTCATGGATTCAAGAAAGCTGGATGCTCAGGTGCCTGCTTAGGGGGACTGAAGTTTACCCAAGATCTCTCTTTCCTCCAGGGAGACCAGGACCCAGGACAGATGGCATTGTGGGGGCCATCAGGGGAGCTGGTGTCACAGCCCTGCTCACTGTCTGCCTCTGCCTCATCTTCTTCCTGTGAGTGGTGGCCCTGGTATGGGCGAAGACCTCCTGAGGTGGTGGTGTGGGAGGGTGAGGGGATTCAATGAACCTCAAAACTCAAAGCCCAGAGATGGGGGACCCAGCGAGGTGACGAAGCCAGGGAGGAGTGAAATTAGGTGAAGTGGCATCAGGAATTTAGCCTCATGACATCTTAGCCAAGCTTAGTGTCAGTTCCCAAAACCTGGTTTCAGCTGTTGGGGAGGACAGAACATGTTTTCTCATCCTGGTCTCTGCAGTAAGGTGGCGGCCTTCACACTCTGCCTCAGTCAGCCCCTTTAGGCTCCCAACAGCAAGCCAAACCCACTGAAGGGTCCTCGTCTCTCTTCTCAGAGTGAAGATCTACAGGAAGAAATCAGCAGAGAAGGCAGCGAGCAGGGATGGTGTCCATCCTGCATCGAGTACCGTGTCCTCGGTGAGTGATGTGGGCATCTCTCTGTCCAGTGTCCCAGCTGGACACTTGTCCAGGGGCAGGGTGGGCATTTTGATGGGAAGTTTACTCAGCACATCAAAAATGAGTTCCTCATCTGCCCCCCAAATTTGTTCCTCTCCCCTGGATTTCCTGCTGCACTCAACTCAGAGACCTGAGAATCGCCCCCTCCTCTTTCCTCTCCTTCACCTCCCAGAGCCAATCATTGACCAAGCCCTGTCCATTTTCCCTTTTAGTAAAGCTTTTCTCCATTGGGCCCTTTCCTGCTGAGCTGTCACTATCTCTCCTGGGTCACTGACCCCATCTCTTCTCCCTGAAAAAGCTTTTGGGAAGAAATTCCCCAAACAGCTGACATGCAGTAACCTTCTGCTTACTCCCTGCTGCCTAGGTCAGCACAGTCCAACAGAAATATGAATGAGAGCCACATATATAACTCAATACTTAGCCACATTTAAAAAGGTACAAAGAAACATGAGATCAATTTTAATATAATATTTTATTTAACCCAACATCTCCTAAAATAGAATCACTTCAACAGCATATCATCAGTAATCAATATATGGATTATAAATGGAATACTTACATTCTTTTTCCTTTTGTACAAAGTCTTTGAAATCCAGTGTTTGTTGTAAACTCACAGCTCATCTCTGGTCTGACTCACCACATTTCATGTGCTCGATAGCCACAGGTGGCCAGTGGTTACCCAATTGGACAGCATAGACCAAGGGAACCAAGTCCTGATTCTTCAGTCTGTCATTCTGTCATAGGTCCCCTGCCACGTGCTCCAGCTGGCCTCGTGTCCCTCCCGACAAAATGAGCTTATTATATACTGTGATATTGTTATTTATAGTAGGAAATATATATTTGGTCTTCGTCCCCATTCCTGGCATTGAGCTCCTAGAACCCTTGGAATTTCCTGTGATGGGAGCGAAAATGATGTGTTTTGTTATGTTAATGAGGTGACTTTGGGAAAACACCTTCGGGGGCCTGGGGGATGCTGGTTGCCAGGGGAACAACCAGGTGATTACAGTGTTAGAACCTTCAGACCCACCCCCTGACATCCAGGGAGGGCAGAGAGGCTGGAGGTTGAATCAATCACCAATAGTCAATATTTTAATTGACTCTGCCCATGTAATGAAGCCTCCATAACACCCAAAAGGACGGGGTTTGGAGAGCTTCTGTGTTGGTGAACAGACAGAGGGAGATGTGGAGAGCGGCACAATTGGAAAGTGTGGAAGCTCTGTGTCCTTTCCCCATACCTTGCCCTCTGCATCTCTTCCATCTGACTCTTTCTGGGTTATATCCTTTTATAAAAAACTGGTGATCTAGTAAGTAAAATGTTTCTCTGAGTTCTGTGAGCCGCTCTAGCAAATTAATCCAACCCGAGGAGCGGGATGTAGGAACCTCTGATCTATAGCCATTTGATCAGAAGCACAGGGGACAACTTGGACTTGCAATTGGCATCTGAATTCGGTGGGGGACAATCTTGTAGGACTGAGCCCTTAACCTGTGGGATCTGATGCTATCTCCAGGCAGAGAGTGTCAGAATTGAGTTGAATTGTAGAGAACCCAGCTGGTGTTGGAGACTTGCTTGTTGGTGTGGAATCCACTTTCAACATTGTAATTGGTTCCAGAATCCTTCTATCCCCAGGCAGGGCTCGCTCTTTGTGCCCCCTGCCCCTTTGTGCCTTTTCCTGAGAGAGTCTCTCCATCCATCCCCCTTTGTACTGGTCAAACCCCTAGCAGTCTTTCACGCTCCAGTTTAAATATTCCCCTGCCCTGTGCCAGGCAGACTGTCCCCTTGCATCCCTGTGACAATCACAGGCCTGTCCCCACCACACTGTGAGCCCCTTGAGGGCAGAGGTGACCCTCACCCACAGCACCCCACTTCTGTTCATCAGATCATAATGTGCAATTTGATAAGTCTGTGTTCATGTGTGTGTGAATCTGATACTGTCTCCTTGCCCTGATAGACTGTCTGAGGTCAGGGATCTTGTCTGCTGAGCAGTTACTTGACCTTGCTCACTCAGTCTGTTTCCATATCTGTAAATGGGAATAATATTTATATTATCTCTGGAGGGAGATTGTATGGATTCAGTGAGATCAGTAATAAGAAGAGACCGTTATGATTAAAATATGTTAAAGGTATGTAAGAATGAATGAATCAGTGAGTGAATGAATGAATGAGTGAGTGAGTAAATGAATGAGTGAATCCTCAGGAAATGGGTGTGAAATGGATAAATGAGTCAATGCTCCTTCAAGCCCCAAGTTCCCTTCTCCAGACCCCAAAGGTCAGCTCTGACACCCTTCTCTCATCCCCCTCAGGGTCACCTGCATGAATCCAAGTCAGATAGTCCCTTGGACCACCCGACCCCAGCTGCTCCCGCCTCCACCTCAGAGGAGGAGCAGGAACTCTATTACGCCTCCCTCAGTTTCCAGAGGATGACATCACGCAACTTTCAGGAGCAGGAGACCACGGAGTACTCAGAAATCAAGGTCCAGATATGATGACCCTCTCCTCAACCACCCTCAGCTGAATGGAGCCCAGAAAAGGCATCTCTGAGGAAGATGTGTGTCAGGCACCAATTCTTGAAGAGTTGACAGCCCTCTGAGCCAAAGCTTATAAATGGGAATGTGAGGCTCCTTGGAGCGGCTGAAGGTCACAGAGATTCCTGGGTTCAAACCCAGGCTCAGCTACTTACTAAGGGTGTTAGATCAGGCAGTCACTTCACACAACTCTCTGTGCCTTAGTTTCCTCCTCTGTAAAGTGGGGGATAATATTCATGAGGTACATTGTTAAATGGGAAAAAATGCACCACTGGAATTGTTAAGTACATCATGTGTTACATTTCCCTCAGGATGGAGGGATATGACGAGCTTGTGGCTCTACCACGTACCTCTATTTTGCTTTACTATTTTTAGGAAAATGTATTATTTTATTTTTCGTTTTTCCTTTTTTTATGGGAGGAAATGTATTATTTTAAAAAATAAATCTATTTCTAAATGTAACCATTTGGTGAGAGAAGACATTTCTCAGTGATGTATCTAACCAAGAATTCGTCCAGACTATATAAAGAATATATAAAGATCTTCCACAAATCAATAAGAAAAAGGCAGACAACTGGATAGAAAAACAGGATATTCAAAGAGCCAATAAACATATAGAAAATTGTTTGAGTTCAGTAGCTGTCAAGGAAATGCAAATAAAAATCACAATGTTGTGCCACTGCATAGCCACCAAGTTGGCTAAAATAAGAAAAATAATATCAAGAATATCAAGTGTTGAGGACATTACCCTAAGTGAAATGAGCAAGTCACAAAAAGACAAATACTGCATGATTCCACTTATATGAGGAATCTAAAGTAACCAAACTCTTAGAAACAGAAGGTAGAGCAGGCTCAGGGGCCGGGGAAACAGGAAGTTGCTATTCAATAGGTATAGAGATTCAGTTTTGCAAGATGAGAACGTTCTAGAGATCTGATGGACAGCAATGTGCATATAGTTAACACTACTGTACCGAACACTTAAAAGTGGTTATAATGGTAAATTTTATGTTATTTTTTTCCAAGATAAAAAAAGTAATATAGGGTCGGCCCCGTGGTTTAGCGGTTAAGTGCGCACACTCCGCTACTGGCAGCCCGGGTTCGGATCCCAGGCACGCACCGACGCACCGCTTCTCCGGCCATGCTGAGGCCGCGTCCCACATACAGCAACCAGAAGGATGTGCAACTATGACATACAACTATCTACTGGGGCGTTGGGGGAAAAAAAAGGAGGAAGATTGGCAATAGATGTTAGCTCAGAGCAGGTCTTCCTCAGCAAAAAGAGGCAGATTAGCATGGATGTTAGCTCAGGGCTGATCTTCCTCACACACACAAAAAAAGTAACATATAGAGGATATACAGAGATTGGGGATTGGAGGGGAGAGTGGAAAACTAGTGTTTATTGGGTGCAAAATTTCAATTTAGAATGATGAAAAAGTTCTAGAGAAAGATGGTGTGATGGTTGCACACTGTAAATGTACTTTAAGCCACCAAATTGCACATTTAAAAAATGGTTAAAACATTATCCTTCTCAAACTCTTCCAAAAAATTGAAGAGTAGGGGAAGCTTCCTAACTCATTCAATAAAGCCAACATTACCCTGATCCCAAAACCAGACAAGGATAACACAAAAAAGGAAAATCACAAACCAATATCACTGATGGACATCAATGCAAAAATCCTCAACAAAATACTAACAAATCAAATACAACAATACATTAAAAAGATAATATGCCATGATCAAGTGGGATTTATTCCAGGGATGCAGGGATGGTTCAACATCCATGAGTCAATCAACACGATACACCACTTTAACAAAATGAAGAATAAAAAACACACAATCACCTCAATAGATGCAGAGAAAGCATTTGACAAGATACAGCATCCATTTATGATAAAAACTCTGAATAAAATGGGTATAGAAGGAAAGTACCTCAAAATAATAAAGGCAATATATGACAAACCCACAGTTAATATCATTCTTAATGGAGAAAAACTGAAAGCTATCCCTCTCAGAACAGGAATCAGACAAGGATGTCCACTCTCACCACTCTTATTTAACATAATATTGGAAGTCCTATGCAGAGCAATCAGGCAAGAAAAAGAAATAAAAGGGATCCAAATTGGAAAGGAAGAAGTGAAACTGTCACTATTTGCATATGACATGATTTTATATACAGAAAATCCTAAAGAACCCGCCAAGAAACTTTTAGAAATAATAAATGAATAAAGTTGCAGGATACAAAATCAACATACAAAAATCAGTTGCATTCCTATATGCTAACAACGAAGTAGCAGAAAGAGAAATTGAGAATACAATCCCATGTATAATTGCAACAAAAAGAATAAAATACCTAGGAAGAAACTTAACCAAAGAGGTGAAAGACCTGTATACTGAAAACTATAAAACATTGTTGAAATAAATAGAAGACACAAAGAATTAGAAAGATATTCCATGCTCTTGGATTGGAAGAATTAACACAGTTAAAATGTCCACACTTCCTAAAGCAATCTACAGATTCAGTGCAATCCCTGTCTTTGTTCCAATGACATTTTACACAGAAATAGAACCAAGAATCCAAAAATTTATAGGGAACAACAAAAGATCCCAAATAGCCAAAGAAATCCTGAAAATCTGAAGAGCAAAGCTGGAGGTATCACACTCCCTGACTTCAAAATATACTGCAAAGCTATAGTAATCAAAACAGCATCATACTGGTGCAAAAA